AATCAAAGTTTCCAAAAAATATTTTTGGGAAAAAGTTGAAAGTATCAATTTTCCTTAAAAATAAATTTTCAAAAAAATAAATTTTTGAGGAAAAGTTGAAAGTATCAATTTTCCTCGAAATTAAAGTTTCAAAAGAATATTTTTTTGGGAAAAGTTGAAAGTATCAATTTTCCCTGCACTAGAACAATCATTCTTCCTTTTTATTTGATTTTGATTTTTCTTTAAATAATCCGACGACGGAGCCTCTGCAAGTGAAATAGTAGTTTTTCTTGCATACTCTTGAGGTGAGGGAATTTTCTCAATTTTTTGCTAAAAGTATTAGAGTCATTTGAGAATAATTTCCAATAATTAATTACTTGGTAAAATTTTAAGGCTCATTAGATAACACAAATTTAGCTGGTACCATTTTTTGATGGGCGTTGTGAGGGTGCTATAACCTTCCTCACACGTAACCGAACTCTTGAACCCTGTTCTAGTTAGTAGACCTGAACCTATTCTTTTAGGGACCCTTAAACTTAGGTGTTCCTTGAAAGGACAGATTCCTTAGGTGGTCAATCGCACCTAGATAAAAAAGATTGGTGGCGACTCCTAAAAGTCAATGTCTAGCGATAGATCCCCGGATCTAGACGTTATGACAAAGGGGATGAGGGAGACCTGATTGGAAACAGGACCTTGATGTCCCCTCAAATGTCTTCAGCCACTAAACCAAAGACTTGGAGACTCACACATGACATTTAAGTCATATAGTAATATGTTTATAACTAACACAGACTATAGGAATTGAAGTTAATTAATAATATTGACAATGAATTTATTTTTCCTTTTAATATAGGTAAATATAATTATTTTTTAATATTTAAAGGTATGAATTCCCAAAAGTGTTAAAAATCGATTGATCTAAATATTGTAATAAAATTTTAAATTAAAAAAATTATCTTTAAATATATTTAACTTTTATTGATTTATTTAAGTTTAATTTAAATAAACTAAAATTAAAAATAGACTCTTTGTGAAATTAATTTATTTAAAATTTTAGTTCCAAAGGTGTTAAAAGTAATTAGTTAAGATACCTTTAGTAAATTTTTATAAATTTAACGAATTTTCCTTTTTTATTATTATTAGACTTTTTTATAATTTTATTCAAAAATGTTAAAAGTGATTTTGTTTGCCATCAATTAAAAGTGATTGACTAAAATGTTCTGAATAAAATTTTAATTCAAAAAATGTTAAAAGTAATTGATTAAAATACTATTAGTAAATTTTTTTATAAATTTTAATTTAAATGAAATTTTTAATTAGGCTCACATTGAGACACAAAATATGATTTTCATATCAAATAAAAATACAAATAAAAATGATCAAAATTTATTAGTGTGTATAACAATAAGACAATTATATGAAATTTGTTTTTTTGTTGTTGTAATAATAATTGCGTATGTACTTTATGTTGATAAATAAATTCATTAAAAATAATCAGAATTAAGTTATTGAAGCATATTTGTTTTTTTTTCTATTTTTTACTTTTCAATTTTTTGTTTTAATTGATCTGTTATCTATACATGTATGTTAATGATTTATTATTTGTATGTTTTATGAATTGATCATTTGATTATTTTTTGATAAAACTTATTTTATTTTTGATAAAATAATTAAATATTTTTAGTCATTTGAAATAATTTTTAATAATATCATTCTTAGTTTAGCTTGACCTCTTTAATTAATTTACCTTTTGTATTTTTTTTGTAGAATTTTAGAATTGTTATTACCATGAAAAAAATATATCAAATCAAATGCAAATTAATTACTAACAATTAGTATTATGTGATTCATTGAGCATTTTAAATATTTCAATTAGTCTTCCTACTTATAAAATTAGATAATTCAAAAGTTGATAGAGATACTAATAGATTTAAAGTGTCTGACATTTTGAATACTGGATGCTATGCATAAAGGAAAAATAAAGAATCCATGTAACATAAGGTACTACTTTAATTATCGAACTGTCCTACATTTTTTCAATCCTAAGGTGAAGCACAAACCCAGAAATTTTGTTTTCGTCCATGGCAATTTCTCAATGTAACTTCAACTAGAAAGGTCCAAAATCCAAACAAAAATATAAAGCCTAAAAGCAGCAACCCACAAAAAGTAGGCAAAATTTTTTATCTTATTATTTCTACAATCACATAATGCTCCAATTCATTTTTCCATCATGCATTAATTATCATATAAATAATTCATTGTTACATTGCATTATTGTTCGAATTTTCCAGGCAAATATGTAAACGTTCTCTTTTCAATTTTCAAGCTTTTTGATCATTTCAGTGCGAGCTTGATTTCTTTTTTTTTTTGGCCAAGCGTTCTAAGGTTGATTTCTACTCTGTTGGCTTTTCCTTCAACTCAAAAAGAGGAAAAAAAAAAAAAAACTTAAGTTGAATTTTCTTTGGTCCTACATTCCTTTCCTTGTAACTTTACAATATTTTCTTTATCTTTAGTTTCCACTTTGTTTGTTATTTTCATTTAAAAATATTTTAAAAAAAAGAGAGAGAAAAAAAAAAAAAACCAATCTTCAAATATCAATGATCCGTTATGAATAAATCCTCTCAGATTTAGAAGGCACCAGCTGAGGTAAATGCAACAACTTCTCCATTGCTTTCTCTTCGTACAAATAAAGTTTGTTTCTTACATTTTTTTTAATCTACTTTGCAATTTTTCAGTGAAGCAGATCAGATCTCAAAAAGATTGGATTTATTTTTCAAGCAAATTTTCTCTTGAAAGCTTCGGATCTATCACTCCTATATAGAAGTGGTAAGTTTGGAATATTCATTTATCTTTTTTTTTTGTCAATATTAAAAAAAAACAAAAAAAGGTCTTTTGGTTTTAAATTTGCTTGTAAAAAGACGGGTACAGGTAGCCGTTTTTGGTTCTAGCGTCTTTTGATCTTGGGTTTTTGGAGCTTCTCTAATTGTGACGGGATAGAGCCGGAGGAGAGTACAGGAAAGAGGAAACGGTGCCGGTGGTGGTGATAAGTGGTTGAGGGTGGCGTATCTAGCTTTTACGGTCTTGGGTTTGGTTTTAAATTTAGGACTTTCTAGGAGTTTTTACAAAAATTTGATCCGATATAAAGAAAGTGAGGACCAAGAAGAAGATTTGGATGAGTTTTGGGAAGAAAAACGTTGCCGGCGAGCAGCGTACCATGGTGGCAGAGGATGGTCCGACGATGGCGGTGCTATTAAATGAACTAGACGGTAGTCTAGAGATGTTGGAAAATTAAACAAATTGATTTTTTTTTTTTGGATAAGAAACTTTTTTTTAATAACATCACATAGGCATAACCATCTGGCGATTGAGCTTACATGGTAGTGCCATTTGGGAATATCAGTCCAGTTGTGATAATAATAAAGATGTTACAATTATCTGGTCATAATAAAGAGGAAATGTATCGACTACAAGGATGGCAATAGTTAGTTAATAAATGGAAAATTGTTATTATCCAATTTGTTTATGTCAGAATTGAATAATTATAAGCAGATAATTAATAGATTCAGATAAAAATTTATTATTCGTGATAAATTCAAATAAGATACAGATAATAGTTTTTGGATATCCACATCTAAATTCATTTAACTTTTAATGAATAATAACAGATATCCGAATTTGTTATTCGATTACATATATAAAATATATAAAATTTTGTTCTTCTAGAAGGTTCATAACCTTAACAATAATCTTTATTTGTTATTAATTAAGAGTGAATTTAAATTTTATTGATTTTATATTTTGATGAAAAATTTAAATAAGTGGATATTTTGATGGATTTCGATATTTAAACTTATAGTAGTTATTTAAACAGATTTGAATTTGGATAGTGATATTAAACTTAAAACAAATATTTAAATGAATTCAAATATTATAAATTTTAAATGGATTCGAATACTAATAACTTAAAAATAATAGATATCTACTCCATTACCATCTCTAATCATCTACAATTTTCTTTACTACAATCTTATAATTAGTCAATTGTAACAAAGAATTATACACGGGTTCACCCCTTAAAAATGTGGGTTCTACATTTTTTCTTTTTTGTGAAATCTACAAAATATGTTAATTATACTTCAATAATCACAAGTGATATGTTCAAAATAAAGAATTATATAGGGTCTATCACTTAAGTAAGTGCATACTTCATATAAAGTTTTGATGTGTCTCGCACAATTATGTCTTATGATTAGTTAATTATATTATAATTATTGTAGATGATATAATTGTAGGTGTTATATTCTCATGGTAACAGAATCCAACATTTTACCCTAAATGGTTGGATGATCAAAGAAACAAATCTTTTTATTGTTTGTGACTAAATCATTACTTTTCATAGTTTGGTGTCCAAAAAAAAATCAACTCAAATTGGTTGACCAAACCTGTAATTAATAATTTTGAAAATTGTTGCTTAATTTTTTTTATTACAATATGATCTTTGGTTGTCTATCATATCAAAAGTAATTTTTTATTTCCTATTTTCTGAGTAATATTTTCTTAAAGTTACCTAAAAATATTGTCTTTTATCTCGTGTTTTCAGCTTGGCAGAGTGCTGAAGAAACGATATTTGGATCTCATTCTTTGAATTGTCTTTACTTTGCTTTGTATGTACTTAGAAAGTGTTACTTAGCAGAAAACTGAAGAAAAAGAAGTTGGTTTTCACACTTTGGAGTATCTTCACGTTGTTTGGTATGTTTAGAGAGTTCACCTTCATTATTCTTTAATTTTCTTTTTAGTATCATCGTCATGATTTATCTCATAACCAATATTTTTACGCTTGGCTGAAGTTTCTTCAACTTGAGCTTATCAACAATGGCTTATGGGTTTTGCGAGTCTGGTCGTTCTAACTGCGTGGGAACACTGCTCGTGGATTGGGTGGCAAAGCCAGTAGAACATCAATTTAATTACATTTGCCGTTTTCGCCACAACGTTAGAAAGCTCAAGCAAAAAAAGAACTGATAATGGCACGGGCTCCGCTGCAACATGAGATTGAGGATGCTGAAAGGCAACTTCAAGGAATCGAAGATGATGTCAGAGACTTGCTATCAAAAACAGACAAAATCCTATCAGATATGGAAACTCTGGAAAATGAAATCCAACAAAATATGAGATGTTTCAATTGGTGTCCTAATTGGAGTTGGCGGTATCGATTAAGTAAGAAAGCAATGAAGAACACTTTTGTTATTTTTGTGCTTCTTGAGAACACCACCAAATTTGGTCAACCTGGACGAGTGGGCTACCGTTCACCTAGTACAGTTCCGACCATAGAATTCCACTCTTCAAAGGATTTTATGGACTCTAAATCTTCAAAAACAGCTTCTAATCAGATCATTGAGGCCCACAGGATGACAATGTCAGCGTGATAGGATTGTGGGGGATGGAAGGGGTGGGCAAGACAACCCTAGTCCAGGAAGTTGGAACTCGTGCCAAAAAATTAAATCTGTTTGACAAAGTTGTGATTACTACGTGTCTCAGAAGCCAAACTTTGAAACAATTCAAGATGAAATTGCAAAATACCTGGATTTCGATGTGAAGAATGAACTAGGAAGAAGATCAAGACAAGAATTCTGGTTGAAACTGCAGGATGAGAAAAGGATTCTAATAATCCTTCATGATGTTTGGGCAAAAATTGACTTAAAGGAGGAGATAGGAATTCCATTTGCTGAGGATCATAAAGGCTGCAAAATTCTTTTAACAACACGTCGTCAACAAGTATGCACTGCTATGGGATGTCAAAAGACAATACCACTTGGTTGTTTAGATGACCATGAAGCTTGGACTTTATTTGCGGCGATAGCAGGTCTAGATAACTCTTCTGATGACGCTATTAAACATGTAGCAACTAAAGTTATCAAAAAGTGTGAGGGTTTGCCCATAGCTATAGTTGCATTGGGAAGTGCTCTAAAAGGTAAAAATCATCATATGTGGAAAGCAGCACATCGGAAACTCAAAAACCGTAGATTGGGTGACATCGAAGATATTGATCAACAAAATGCTTACCTATGTCTTGAGGTAAGTTTTGATTATCTGAAGGATACGGCGACCAAGATGTGTTTCTTATTGTACTCTTTATTTCCTGAAGATTATAAGATTTATGTAGAGGAGTTGGTGAGATATGCATGGGGACTAGAGTTGTATGAAGGTATGGGCTCAATTGAAGAAGTGAGGAGCGAAGTGCTTGCAGCGATCGATATCCTCAAGGATTCTTGTTTGTTGATAAATTGTGGAGAAAGGCATGTTAAAATGCATGACATGGTTAGTGATGTTGCTTTGTGGATAGCATTCTACAGAAAGGAGTTTTCTTTTGTTATAAAATCTGAGGTTATTGAAATGTGGGCAAAGGATGAAAGTTTTGAGCCTTGCGAAGCAGTCTCCTTCAAGACTAGTCAGATCGTTGAACTTCCTAAAGGACTAGCAGGCCCAAATCTCAAATTTCTTTAAATTGGTGGAGATGGAAACATGATAACTTCAAGTGAATTCTTCGAAGGAATGAAAGCTTTAAAAGTTTGCGCTTTGCATTCTAGATTGATATCTCCAGACGCATTTTAGTTTCAAACAAACCTTAGAATTCTACATGTGGAAGGTTGCAAACTCTTGGGCATCTCATTGCTTGGGAAGTTGAAGGTTCTTTCATTTAGTCGCTCTGATATCAAAGAATTGCAAGAAGAAATAGGTGATTTGGATAATCTTAAATTGTTGGATTTATCATATTGTAAACAACTACAGAGAATCCCTCCTCAGTTAATACGAAGATTGTCCCAATCAGAAGAACTATACTTACATGGTTGTGAAAGAATAAAATGGGCTACTGAGAACACGGTTCAAGAAGAAAGCTATGCCAGCCTATCGGAGTTGAATTCCTTGTCAAACTTGGCCGTATTATCTTTAGAGGTTTCTTCTAAACATCTTCCACGAGACTTTCTGTTCCGTAAATTACCAAGGTTTTGTGTATGCGTTAGCTTTTCTAAGTTATATGTAATGAAGAGGGACTTTGAGATCGACCAATTGTCAGGATCCTTAGAAATTGAGGGTCTGTAATTGAGGCATGCAAACAGTTATTTGGGGATACGGAATATCTTAATCTGAATATTGTGGTGGGTTGCCAAAATCTTGTTCCAAGCTTGGAGTCGGGCCAAGTGGTATTCAGTAACCTGACTTCTCTGGGTCTTGAGAGTTGCGAACATATGAAATGTCTCATTGATACATACAACAAAGCAGCAGGCGCTAACCATTGCATTCTCTAATTTGTTAAAATTATCGTTAAAAGATATGCGTGGTTTGCAAGAGCTATGCAGTGGTCATCAACCGCAAGGGTTTTTACTAAAATTGAAAAACTTGATGATAGATCATTGCAAGGACATGATATGTGGAATGCCAATTCGACAAAATCTTGAGCAGTTGGAAGTTGCATATTGTGATAAGATGCAAGTGATATTTCAAAATATTGCTGAATTGAGGAGCATGAAACAAGGACCCGGTCATCATGTAAACTTACAAAGTTTGAAGGTTTGTAACAATCGACAACTGCAATAAATTGAGATATCTCTGCCCAACTTCCGTTGCTCAAAGTCTTGGGCAACTGGAAACACTGAATATATTCGACTGCTCGGAATTGGAAGATATAATTCCCAAAACGCAAGTGTCAAACATCTGACTCCAAAGTCTAAGGGAAGTATATGTAAATGGCTGCAATAACTTGACATCTCTTTCGTCATTGTCCCATGGTCAAACTTCGGAGAATTTGACAAAACTTCAGATTTGGAGTTGCTCTCGATTGGAATATAGTTTTCCAATCTCAATGGCTAAAGGTCTTCCACAGCTGAATGTGGTTACATTGGTAGGTTTGCCTCGATTAAAAGGAAGGAATGGAAATGACATTATACCCACACTGCCATCTTTACAAGTGTTGAAAGTGGGAAATTGTCCACAATTGACTCGTTTTATCATTTTGGCTAAAATAGCGGTAAGCCTTTTTTTTTTTTCTTTCTTACAACTATACCTGGTGAGGGAGTGGAAAGAGTGGAAGAATAGAAAGAGAGCGGAAAGAAAAAAAAATTAAAATTTAATCCTTTTAAATTGGGAGAAAAACATTCGTTTTTACTTAAATAAATCCTTTCTTATAAATTTTCTTCTAATCCTTTTTCTTTTTTTCTAGTTTTTTTTTTTTATCTTTGGTACCAAACACTAACAAAGAAAATTAATTTTCTTTTCTATAATTTATTTTTGCATTCCTTGCCCTTATTTCCTCCCTTTATTTTTCTTCCTACCGATTAAATATAGTGTTAATGTTGTCGATTGAATTTTTTTTCTTGATAAATTGGTTTCCGAAGAAAAGTTCAAGTTCAAATGCTATAATTTTAATATTTAGAAATTTCTAAAAATTTTCAATATTTAAAATTTTTTAGTTTTTTCTAAATATTAAATTTACTTTTTAAATGATATGATTATAGGTGTTAGAATTTTGGGATATGAGAGAAAGGAAGCACGTAAAATGATAGTTCCAGAATTGGGATGAAAAGCTGAATATAAAATATTTAATCATCACTAATTTTAAAGAGCTATTTGACAGTGGATATAATCTTTCAAGTTTGAGGGAACTAAGTTTGCGTGATCTACTTGAATTGCGGGTGGCATGGAAAGATCCCGTCAAAGTTGTCAACTTTCAATACGTCACTCAATTGGTTGCCTTTAGATGCAGAAGATTAAGATATATTTTATCACCTACTATCGCTCGGAATTTGTCGCAATTGAGCTTTTTACACATATATAAGTGTGATGAACAGGAGCAAATTATTGAAAAGGATGATCAACTTCATCACAAGATCATCATCTCCAACCTGTATGTTTCCCTAATCTGACTCAAATACGCGTTGAGTCATGCGAAAACTTGAAAAGTCTCTTTCCAGTGAGTGTTGCTCATGGCCTTCCAAAACTGCAATCCTTTACTGTTCAGAGCGTCTCCAAATTAGAACAAGTATTTGAACAATCAGGAGATGAGGCAAATGGTAGTGAGGAAAAAGGGAAAGTGATACAGCTACCTCAATTGGGTACCTTAGATCTTGAAAAGCTACCAAACATTGTGAGCTTCAGCCCTGTGGGTTATCATTTCGTATTCCCATCTTTGCAATTTTTATCTGTGAGAGGTTGTCCCAATATAGCCACAAGCTTTAGTGTTGATTCGGAGGAATCTGGGCAAGCCAAAACAGAGGTACGCTACGCACCCAAACTCTCACTTTAAAAGTATCAAAAGCTACCGTGCCATTGTATAGCTGGACTTGGATAAGCTTATGAACAGATAGGTTAATCTTTTGCACATTTTTCATGCTTTTATTTCCTCTTTCAGCTTTATTGATTATGCAATATTAATCTTGTCTGTTCTGTTCAAGGGAACTTGTTATGGATTTCAATTGAAATTTGTCATCCATTTGTTTGTTTTAATTGCTAATGAAATTGAAAATGTTATTGGCTGGTAATGTTAATTCCGAGTTCTATGGGGCGGCAGTCTTTCTTATTGGGTTCATTCAATGGTCTTTGTTGCGTTTTTGTTTCAATTTACTGAATTATACATCCTTCGTTTTCTTCACATGCCATGCTTTAATTTGTTTTGCAGGCAATCCGATCAATTGATGAAAATATAATGGAAGAGTCTACTAAAGCTGAACAAACAACATGGCCAGTTGGTAGTTATATATATATATGGTGGAGGTCTAGACAATGAAGTTGAAAACACACCTTTGTCAGAGGGAGATGAAGAAATGAATGTCAGTTTCAGAAGATGCAAGTGAATGAAGCTGTTGCTAATTTGCTGCAGCATTTCACAAACCTTTCTCCCAACTTCATAGTCTTGCAGCCAAATATTGCAATCATATTCGAATGCAAATTTCTACGAGGGTACATAAAGGCTGCATTCCTGTTTATTTGTCTTTTTTTATTGGCTAAAAGTTTATAGTTTGTTGTCCTTTCCACTAGCAGACTTGATATCATTTTGCTTTTGCAGTCATTTTTAGGCGGTGGATTTACACTTTACAGTCAACTACAACGCCATTCATTGAGCAGTTGGTCGGGATTTTCATTTGGTACTTTTGATTTTCATTCGTTTTAGCAGTTGGTCGTGATTTTCATTAGCTCCCAACTACACTTTTCCAATAATCTTTGTTTATGTGAAGTTGTGTTACCAATTATCCCAAAAGCTTAAGCTTAAGCAGTTGATTGTGGATGAGACGATGAACATGACATAATATTCATTTGAGTGAGACAGATTTTGAAGTAAAAACAGCAATGCTTGCATTTTTATTATCTTTGTGTTTCTGTAAGGAAGTCACTTGAAAATTCATCAATACTGAATTTCAGTTGAATAGCATTTCTTCCTCCCTCTTGACATTAGACAATCATATGTTATTTTATGGCATAAGAATTGCTATAAGAATTCCATGCATCTTAATTTCATTCAATTAGATTTTTTTTTTTTCAAAACAGCTAGTCAAAACGAAGTTTCCCTAGTTGATGTTCTAAAGGTTGCTTTATTTAAAGATGGCGGACCTTACTTAGTTAAATACTTACTCGAATACTAATAAATCAAAACAACTAAGTTCATGGAGAATTAATCTTGATATTAGAAGTCAAACTTAGAATCCCATATATATATATATATATTGCTTTTTTTGGTGTAATTTTATCACTTTATTATATTGTTATGTAATTTTAATCATCTATGGATTAAAATAGAATATTTCATCCAAAATTTATTTTTTTTGTTCTATGTTGTTGATATGGAAAATATTTATATTTTATTTAAAAAAATTCACATAGGATAATATAAATCTAGAAAAATAAATAGGACAATTTGATTTTTACTAAAAAAAATTTTGAATTTATAAAAATTTGAAAAAATTTTAAATTTATTTAGAAAACCAAAGCATATGTTTTAAAGTTTTATTTTTATTTTAAAAGAGAATAAAACTGAAAATTTTTGTGTGGCCTTTTCTTCGTAATCATTAGCCTGAGCTAAGCTCTCTTGTTGCCTTCTTCTACCTAATTATATTGAAGATAATTTTTCATGTTGTGTGCTTAGTGGTGTTGTTGGAATTAGAATTTGCTCTCTTTTAATTTGTTTGAGAAACTGAGGAGGAATGTAAGCAATAATTTATGAAAAGGGGAAATTAATTAGATCAAAGGATCAAAATAAGATAGCTAAAAAGATCCTGTCTTGACATCCGATCAAGTATATGCATTCTTATATTCTCATTCATCATTGATGATTTAATTTTTAAATCAAATTTGATTTTTTTTAATTTGATTTATCAAACTTTAATTTTACTTTCCACAGTATATATTTGATCAATCACATTTTTAAACCTATAAAAATTTAAATATAAGTTTCAACCCTTTTTTCTTCATTTTAATTTGATTGATCACACTTTAGTTTTTTACATAAGATTAAACATTTTCAAAATTTCTATTAGTTTAAAAGTTTTTTCACTAAAAAATAAATTGTCCTATTTTTGCAATTTATATCGTTGTACATCAAAAAAAATTTTTAATATATAAAATATTTTTATAAAAGTTTTTTCTCCAATCACCCGTTCTAACCTTCTCAAGATCTCCACCGTTAAATTGATGTTATAACATTTTTGTTAAATATTATATTTTTTATGGTCTCAAATTCAAATTGGATCTCCTTCATTTATTGTCAATTAATTTTCAATTATATGCTTAATATATTATTAAAGTTTGGTTTTTGTTCTGTCATTTTTATTTGTTACTCTTTTCAAGTTTGTTGCAAGGATCCAATAATAATCCTCATTAATTTTGTAGCTTGTTTAAATTGGACTGACAGACTTTAGAAAATAATGCTACCAATAACTATTTAATTAATAAATAATGTCTCCCTTTTTTAAGAAAATGAGATAGATTGTGAAATTGTAAGTTTGATGTTGACATTTAAGAAAAACTTGCCACTCTACTGGTACATCTTGTCATTTTTCATGTACTCTTAATATTTATAGATACTCTAAATAGAATCTAATAAGTTGTTAGAG